TTAGTTATAGCGGTGCTTTGGCATTATCAGCTCATAGCTCTCATGATCTCTGCATGCTGTACCTCCCCCTCACTATTTTTTGCTTTGCAGACCCTCTTCTCACTTGTGAATGACAGAAATATTTGGATGGTGACAGGGTGTGGGAAATAGTGGGCAAGAAAAAAAAAAAGCCTGCAAAGATTCCCTCTTAACCACCCCCCCCCCCCCCAAAAGATTCATGCAGTTTATTGTTGTTTTTTTACACCAAGGCCATTGTTTGCTGCAGATTCCTCGTTTTTTTAAATATCTAATCTACACAGAAACAAAAGGAAAAAGCTTAATTAATTTTAATTTAACGTTGCTGGTGCACTCAGAGCGGAGGCATTTTCTACTGCCATTATGTTCAAATTCTAACACCTGTTTTGACAACAGTGTCCACAGTGCAAATTAACTTTTTGATTAATGCCTGCATAATTTCAGAGAATATTATTAGGAACAATAGAGCTGCAGTAAGAGAGACTGTAAAATCTGCTCTTGCAGACACGTGTTTCATTTGGTGGCTCCCACTTCAGATCAAAGCGTGTATAGTGCGCTGTGTGAGCCTTGTCTGATGATAGTATGAGATGAAGATGCTTTCATGTCTGCAGAGCAAGGCTATTAGTCACATAAAACAACAAAGGGTACAAAATAATGACAGACAATATGCTCTAGAGTCTCTTATTTGTGTATTTTATAACATATGATTGTGTACTATACTGTGGCCTCTCACGGTGTTATTATATTTTGTAACTTGATTGTATACCTGGAAATTCAGAGTAGCCGCACATGCATCCACTTTGCCTTTGTTTGTGCCCGTCAAATAAAAATCTGTGTAATTTTGCAATGGTATGTTAGTGTCAATGTACTCCAGCATCCTCTTAAAGTGTGTGTGTGTGTGCACAATAGGGGTTGGGGGGAGGGGTGGGGGGGTGAAATTACACATTAGTGCTAGCAGACAGGACACCAGCTTAAAGTACACTCATTTTCTCATCTCCTATGGGCATCCTGCTGCTCCTCAGGAAACAAATAATGCCTTAGTCATAACCCCTTACCAACACACCAAATCATAGGAAGAGCTTTAGAATAGCTCTAGAAATAACAATGCTGTTTCTCTAGAAATAGAAATTATTTTAGCCTACCTCCCTATAATCCACGCTCAATTCCATACGAAGGTCTGTGAAAACACTGGATATAGGTTCACCTCAGACCCATTTTGTACTTCTCTTTGTGGTTCCCCTTGTGAGGAGACAGAAATGTGCCATTCTTTGTAGCTAATTCATGCATAATGGCAACCTTCTATACATTCATGTATGCATACTCCACATCAGTTACATCAAAACTCATTTTCACCAAGGGGCACATGAGCGTTATGGTGGTCCTCAAAGGGCCAGCTGTAATTAACTTTTACGTTTTGTGTTTAACTTTGACTAAACATGAAACTTCACGTTCCTCATCTCAGCACCAAAAACAAAAAATAACTGAGCTCTACGTGGTATGTCCTGCATAGAAACAACTTTTTAACATGTCATCTTATAAACACTGAAAAGTGGTGCGTGTACGAAATGTGAAATAATACAGAAATACTATTAAAAGTACAGTTAAAGGAGTTTTACTCACTGTTGAGTTGCGGTGAGTAGTTGCTATATTGAATTCTGAACTCTCCCAATTTCTGACGGAATTCCCACTGGAGGGACGTTCCAGTTTAAATTTACAAAATCCCACTTCCCAACACAATTGGGCCTAAGGAAATGTATATTTTACACTGTGAATTTTGTGGATTACCGGCTATTTTTTAACCCTGTGCACCTCCACCTAGTGGTGGGATGCCTTCATTTTGTGGGTAAAATAATCTACATGCATTATGGGAAATGGAGTTTATGGTCAAAGCTGGCTTTAAAGCAGCACACACTTATTTTAAAACAATACATCTTTGAAGCTGTCACGGGCCTCATAATATGCTGTGGAGGGCCACATTTGGCCCACAGACCTTGAGTTTGACGCATGTGCTTTACATCGTCAACTTTGCAGATTTTTGTAGTCAATAGGTTGCTTTTTGATGATCTAAAGGTATTTTTCAAGCTTGCTGATTAGCTTTGTCACATAGCCTCTGATGTCTTTCTTCAGTAATTCTAAATAGTGAATATTTTGTATTTGTGATTTTTATATGTAACACAGAAGTGTTGTTTTTTAAAATACTACAGAAAATGCTTACAATATTAGCCATTTTTATTCTTTTCAGTCAGTTTTGAACTGTCGGATGAAATTTCCAAACACTTCTGTTGCGTTTTAAGTTGCTGTTCAGCAGAAGTCCAAGTAAACAGACTGACTGATTCTTCTTTTATTCTCATTATATTAAAATACTCTGAGCTGACCTTGCTCTCCAGTAAGACTCCATGCTAAGTTAAGTGCTGCAGAGACGTTTTTTTAAAGTGCGTCAGAGCTGTGCCTAGCCGAGGTGTGTCAAGCCGGAACTGAGATGGTGTGATCCAAATTCAAACAGCATGCTGGGCTTTTCCTGCTGGGGGACAACTGAGGCGGATACAGAGAGGTGCTTTGATTGGCTGAACTCAACCTCTCTGCCTGTTGAGTCTGTGTGCATTCGCTGTAGGTTTGTGACTTTGAACTTCTTACAGCATCACTTTCATGTGTGTCTGCGCAGATAGGACCAAAGTTCGAAACGACGTGTTTTCATCCTTTGACTTCTTGAAATGACAGCACATCAAACATTGTATTTACAGGCCTGTCCTTCCAGTCCTCACTATCCTGGTGTGAAGACAAACTCTCAACTGCTCGTGTTGATCCATGTGTACCACTGAGAGATGTACAGTATGTATGTGCGCGTATGTGTGCATCTGCCAGTGTGGTGTGTTTGTGTTACGTCTCTCACCTATCCATGTAAATTCCAGGGAGTCAGGCAGTCGACTGCTAACTGCCTGCTGTTAGCTGCTCTGCGCCAGGCTGCAGACGGTGGGTGGAAACCCCTGCTGGAGCTTCTCTGAAACTGTAGGCAGATGTCTTCCTCTGTCTATCCTCTTCTCCGGCTCACCTGGGGAATGATGCTTGCCAGCGAGCCCTGCTCCTACCTTCATCCTTCCAACTCTGGAGGTTGTTACAGTTGCTAAAAACAGAGAGAAGACATGGACGGGGATGAAAACAGAAACCAAACTGGGGCTAGTATCACCATGTTTAGAACATATAGTAAATGTAAAGGATGGTCACAGTCAAACAAAAGGGTTTTTGTTTGTTTTAATCCATGGCTGACTTGTGTGAAGGCCCACACACATAAGTAAAGCCTGATACTACACAGACATTAGCTGCTTTACATCATCAGCATTCATCGTTTCCAGCTGCTGCCTGGACAGCCTCGTAAACACAGAGTAGCCATCCTACGTAGCATCGAGCACCACCCAATCTGTCTGGAAGATGTGCTTGAGTGCTGTTTGCCAGCATATTTTGCTGAAGGTGAGGAAAGTGCAAGGAAAACGGAAGGCGAAAGTGAGAGTGATTGCAAATAAGATCGAGCGCTATTACAAGTACTAGGTGCTCAGCCTTCTTCCTCAGTCAAAAATTCAATATATTTAAAGTAGTTTATGTTTGAAACGTTGCTGGGACGACTTTGCAAACCACGAGTCGAGAGTCAGAGATGAAGGAGAGAGTAAAGAGAGAACGGCCAGTTATAAATAGCAGAAGTCTCCCCAGGATGGCAGGTTTTTAATTAACAATAGAGTGCCTGATAATCCACTGTTAATCCAAAAGAGAAGAGGGAGGAGAGCCGAGAAGAAGAGGAAAATTGTCAGCTGTTTGATGTTAAGACTACAAGTCCCTTCTGGCCTTTCCCCCTGCTTGCTTCTGAGCTGTTCTGCGCTGTGATATCCATAGCCCGAATGTATTTATTTAGTGAAAGAGCCATGCTCCATATTTTGTGATTCACTTTGTCTCTCACTAACCACTGTCTGTTCCCATTAGTGGGAATGTTGTGCGCACTGCTCCTCCTAAACTGCCAAAGATTCTCAGTGCTTGTGTGTGGCATTTGTGGGTAGGGGCTATTTGTTGAAAACCAGCAGACTGAGGGTCCTGATGGGGCTGGTAGGGGGTGTCTGGTTAAAGCCCTAAGCATGTTGAAAGGCCTGATCCACTGGGGAAACACTGAAGATTCAAGCCTTCGCTCTCAAAGGGAGATGGTTATTTAAAACACTCTGAGCTTAGAGGGAAATTGGTGCTGGATTTTTCTTTTTTTTAGGCATTTGCAATGTCAACTTAGTTGTTTGTACTTGAAATAAAATCGATTATATAGATAAGACAGAATGACAAAGTTAAACTAAAAATAAATGATTCAGGTCATGTCTTTAAAGTGCCTTTGACATCAAATTTTTGTAGTACATATGAATGCATATTTGGAAAGATAACACTGATAACATATCATAAAATAAATTTTACATCACCAAGATGAACAGTTAAGAAATTTGAATGTGCAGTTACAGGAAGTGATGTCAAAGGGGAATGTCTGAACGTGAACAGAGCTTTGTTACATTGCTAACAACACAGACTGTAGAGAATCTGATGTTTCTTTTAGATCATGTTGATCAGAGAGATAAGAAGAGTCAGAGTTCAAATAACATTGTTTCAAGATGGAAAAGTTCCCTTTCATAAAGAGTTCCCCTTTGATGTCACTTCCTGTTTCACTTTGGTTGAGCCAAGTTCAAAAGAATAACTGCCAGTTATGTGGCAAAATGGGTAAAATCCTGTGTATTCTGAATATCGTTTTTTTTTTACTTTTTGTAACAAGCAGTTATGTTAATATTTTCCCTTTTAAAGAACAGCATTTAAAAATGTTTTAATCTCTACATCACATTTCAGCTTTCACATCAAGCCAAGTTCAGATAACAGTGAAACTTTCACTCCTAACTGAATTCAAAACAAGATATGAATAAAAGCCACACTTTCTAACTTTCATTTGCCTTTTCCATTTCTTGATATTTCAGGGCAGAGTCTTGGCTACGGCTTTGTAAACTACATTGACCCAAAGGACGCAGAGAAAGCCATCAACACATTAAACGGACTCAGACTTCAGACGAAAACAATCAAGGTAATCAGTGCTGCATTCATTTTATTTACAATCTAAATAAACAGCTTCAAAAGGAAGAAATAAGAACTCTGTTTTATCGGGTGTTATAGAACGTTGTGGAGGTCATGTTGAATTAAAAGGCTGCTTTCTTCTGGCTGAGAGGCCTTTTAGATAGAGATGCTGTTACGGAATGTGCTGGAGGGCGAGATTAGATTAACATGCTTGGGCCACAGGAATAAAAAGACCATCGAAATCAAAGAGACGTGTTAAACAGCTTGTGATTGAGGCTGATATGCTCATTATGTTTCTGAATGCTAAAATGTAAAGGTAAAATTGTACTATATATATATAGTGCTAAGTAAAAGGACAGAAACATGTCTGCTTTTTTATTTAGAAAAATTAGTGAGGCCTCTCATATTTCTTTATCATTGTAACTGAGTACTACATTATTTAAGCAGCATGACTAAAAGCCTCAATTAGTTGTTGTTAGTGAGGTAAGATGAATATATCGGTCTTTCGTTTGAATAAATAAAGGCTTAAAAAACAGAATACTCACATGTATTTAATTTGCAAATGTTTTACAGCAACATATGCATCTTATTGCTAATCAGATTTCCTATCTCATATCTGCTGCTGCTCCTCTCTGGTTGTGTTGCTATTAAAACGAGATGTAATCTGTTGCTCTGTGGCAATCCCTGGCTTCTTGTTTTCTGTCATCCGACTTAATCTGATCTAGTCCAGCCTAATGGAATCTAATAGGGATGGGATTATCTTGTTTTCATGTGATGGATCCCACAGAAAATCCCTCCATTCCCTAGAGAGCCTAAACTGTCTGGTTTGACTCTTATCAACATGGTGTTCCATCTCCAGAATAGAAACGTCAAATAGTCTGACTTGTTTGTCAATGGATGGTGGAAATGTGTATTTGTCTGTAATGATATTATAAGCAATTTAAACACTTGTGGGCTAAAAATGGTTAATTAGGTTTGTGCTGGCATTTAAACACATGCATTTGTAGCTGCACAACTTTCCAGTGAAAATTCATTTTCTTTACCCACTTGTTCCTGATGAGGGCCGGCCATTGGGTGAAAGGAGGGTGACGCCCAGGTCGCCAGCCAATCACAGACCCACACAAAGATGATTGAAACAACCGTTCACACTCGCACCTAAGGACAATTTAGAGTTGGCAGTAACACAATATGTATGGTTTTGGACTGTGAGTGGAAATCAGAAAACACATGGAGAAAAATGCACACATCCAAGCAAAAAGGTTCACCTGGAAGTTGGACCAACAACCGCTTTGCTGCAAGCTAACAGAGCTCAATAACTGATCCACCATGCAGCCAATTTACTAAACAAAGATTACAACACAGAGCTAAAATACTTCTGCGAAAAGGTTCGGAATAAATAATATGCTACCTGAGATTCTGACTGTGCTGATGAGCTAACGACTAGTTTGAATGGGGTCAAAGTGATTTTAAGTCACGAAACAGCAAACTAAAAAATTCATAGCTAGTCATACAAAAGCCTTTTGAAAAATGATTGCGCTAATATAATTTTTACATTTGCATACATATCTACGCTTCCACTATTTGGAATTGCAAATAATCATAGAATTCTATGTGAATAACTGTGTAATGCAAAATATATTGATGTGCGGGGGGG